GGGGAGGACAGAGAGACTGGTTGAACATTCCAAAGCCAATACCCTTCAGTCCAGAAGGGTGCCAGCAGCTGTGACGTTGGACTGCTGCACCGACAGAGATCCACTGAATGGAAGCAGTGCTGAAAGAGCCCACGATCCCTGGACGTCCCCCCCAATCCACCCGGAGGGCCAGAGCAGCGGAGACGGACAGGGAGCCTTCCGGGCTCTGCACCTTCAGCGACCCACCTTCAGTTTCTGGCAGGCCAAAGCAGCCGCTTTGTTCTCCGCCTCCACCTTGCGGCGGCCCTTCGCGGCAAAGGTCAGGGGGCACGGCCAGCGCAAGGTCAGCTTGCAGATCTTGGTCTTGGTGCCCACCGTGCGGAACTGCATGTACTCCTGCAAGGGGTGGGGGGAGAAGGGGAATCAACAGCGGGCTGCAGGAAGGGAACTCAGCTCCTCATGCTGACGAGTCCGACGTCGAGGGGCCCCAACCAGGCCAGAGGCCTGGCTCCTCAGAGCCTATCAGGAGCTGGATTCTATATGCCACCCCCCCCCCAGCACAGCAGGCCGGAGAAGAGAGCTGCTGAATGCTCACAGAGGTTATTTGCCAGAAATTCTAAAGCCACAGAATGAGAAAGTATTTGTCGCCTTTCTTCCCCCTTCCCCAAAATGGACATTTTGGGAGAAACCGAAATATAGGCAACACTTCCTTATTAGCCCTCAACTTCTATAGCACTTCAGAAGACACATGGTTGGGACCGACAGCTCCCCCGCCCCCAGCAGCCTCAGAGAGAGAGACAGAGAGAGAGAGAGAGACAGACAGACAGAGAGACAGAGAGAGAGAGAGAGAGAGAGAGAGAGAGAGAGAGAGAGAGAGAGAGACAGAGACTTCCGGAAATAATTACTTCTCTCCTTCCAAGGACGACAGCCTCTTCTCCCCATCAGAAAAGTAATTTCCCACTGGAGGAAGTCTTTGCACAAGAGAGTCATCAGACCCCAGCCATAAAACATATAATGTAACTAACAGGGTCCCCGAACTTGGTCCCTGGGAGGGGTGCCATTGCCCCTGCCAGTACTTCTCTTGGCTCTTCTGAAAGTGCAGTTGGGCCATTGTAAGGCAGGGCCTGTTGCTGACTTCCCTCATTCAAATGAAAGTTTCCCACTGAAGGATGTCAGAACACCAATGATGGATAGCTGGTTTCGTAAATTATGGAACCACTATCTTACGGACGCAGTCACTAACAAATTGTCCTTTACCTCTCAAAACTCAAACCAATCGGTATTCACAGGGAAATGGTATCCAATCTTAGACGACCTGTCTCAGCAGCAGTTTGTATGCTCTCAGTGGTCTCAATTTCATAAATGGATCTGAAATATGGCTCACTAATCTATCGATTACTTCCACTGTTTTAGTTCTTTATCTGGACTCTATCAATTCACTATACTGAAGTTCTCAAATTTCATAAATGTGATCACTTAAGCTCTGTACGGAACTCTACAGTAAGTATAGGAAAATCTGTATTACAAATGTTAAGACAGTAGTAATGTCATGATCAGTGTTCCCTCTAAGCTGAGTGTGAGCTGTCTCACAGTTTTTTAGCCTCCGGCTCACAGATTTTTGTCTTAGCTCAGGAAGGAGGGCTCCAGAGCAAACTAATTTATGCAGCAGCCAAATTGCTCGCTCACAACTTTAATGCCAGTAGCTCACAAAGTAGATGTTTTGCTCACAAGACTCCACAGCTTAGAGGGAACATTGGTCATGATACAACCAAAGTTACAGCTTACAATAATAGGTTTGTTTTCTATTTGTATTTTGTCTACTTTCAATTGTAATCTTTCTTATAAATTTATAAAGTTAATCTCGATAAAAAATTATAAATAAAAAAAAAAAGTTTCCCACTGGAAGATGCGGACGACCGGAAAGCAACTGGGATTCCCTGAGCCAGTGTGTGGTTCCATTCTCCCTTCAGGATTGCATTCTTCCCAGGAGGTGTGAGGAGAGAAGTATTCTGTTTGGCTTCGCTTCGTAAAGCAGCCATTTTTGGGTTTGGTTCCACTTCCTGTAGAAGCCTCTTTTTGGGGTGGCACT